TCACGTCTCACGGGCATCTTTCGTCGATCGAAAGTGAGGCGACGATTCGAATCGACCGGAAGGTCTAACGATTCTCGCAAAGGGAGGAGAATAGAAAAAGGAAGACGGAACGTCGAGTGTCCAACTGCAAGGGGTGGCCTCGGCTGGTGAACGGTTTGTCAGGAGGTCGTGAATTAATTCGCGCCACCGCCTATTTCGCCCACCCACCTTCCGGAAAGTTAAATTCACGACTCGCGCGCGAGCTACACGAGTTTCCACTATCGTTCTAAAATTCAAACGAGCCACCGGTGCACCGCCGTGCCACTCGATCGTCGGGGTCGCGAGTATTTTAAAATACCCGACCGGCCGCCGACAACACCTGCCCGCCTCATACCCCTGCCCCTCCACATCGTGCGCAACCGTGTCAAACGAAATTCGCGAAGAACATCACCGCCGAGGTATGGAACGTCTCGCGATTAAACGTTCTCGTTTCGGATCGTTTAAACTACCGACCGATTTCACCTGTTCGGACAGATTTCAAATTGTACCTAAACACATTGAATTTCTCGCGTTTCTGTTTGCTCGATTCCCCGGACGCACGCGCCCGCCCACGGGGGTTATTGTGTTTCGCTGATTCATTCGGCCGTGTTCGCGGCCGCGTAAACGAGCGGCTCGACGTTTCGGTAATTAGTCGAGTTAAAGGAAATTTCCATAACAATGTAAGAATTATGACGTTAAATCGAGCGGCCATAATTCTCGTAGATCACCGGACGTCGGTGCGCGAGAATATCACCGGTAACGAACGTTATGAATTATTATAACGGTTCGGCCGATCGAACGTATCTATTTAACGGGTAATCCCTCATATCCGTCGACCCCGTAATTCGTATCAAAACAAATCGAACGCGCATTGCGACGCGTCACCGCGATATTTGCCCCGACGTAAACCCGCCGTCACCCCTCGATGGGAGAGGGGGATGCTATTAAATGTTGCAACGAGCGCCAAAATAATTCCGGGACGACAAACGGTATTATATTTGATCGTAAAAAATATTCCGTCGCGGAATACTTTTTCGATGGGAAATAACGCTCGCGAATTACACCATACTCGAACCGACCCGGCTGAAATCCCACGTTGGATGAATCTGCGCGGATGTGAGAAAACGTGGACGATCTTTGAATCCGCGGCAGCTTAACGTTTCGGGTCCCTAGGCTGGAACGAGGGTTAAGTGTTTTTCAACAATATTTTTCTGGCTAGCTGGCAAAACAATTTTCCGATACTTAAAATCGAAACGATCCGACGCGAAGGTTCGTCGCGAGAGTAAATTGTTCGGTAAGCCCGCAACAGAGAGAATTGAATGGCCGTCACTGGTAGCGGGAGTGCAGCGCGAAGGGGTGGCAAGTCGAGAGAGACATATGTACCTACGTACGTACACTCACGTACAAACATATATCGTGTACGTACGCAGGTATACGTGTATACGTGGCTACGCTACCACTGGGCCGCCTATTTTCCAGGCAGCCCTGAAATTATCGGCGCGGTCTGAGCGAGGTCCATTGATTACCACTGGTAATTGCCATTACAACCCCCTATCTAGCGGCGGCACCCGTTACGCTCTCCTCGGCACTCGACCCACCTAGCCTCTTCGAGCGTAGTCCCTAGGGCGGGGGCCTCGATATACATACATACATACATACCCAGGCCACCCTGCCGGCAATGCTCCAGGGCATCGGCATTGAAAGTCAACCGTTTTATCGAGGACGCGAGATGGCAAACGGTCCGCGCTCGGCTCATCCGCTCGGCACGAATCCCGCGTTACCCCAACCTCGTGAATTTAAATAGCTCCACCGGTTTCAAGAATCCCCGCGATTCTCCGCGGCCCCGACAATTATATCGTTCTCGACGCTCCGAGCTGCGAATTCAATTCGCTCGCGTCGAAAACCGAGAATTTACCGATACTCCACGGACGCGCGGGTTTAATTGGAAGACGCATCGTTCGTTCCCGCCACCCATCATCGGTTTTTTTTTTTAATTCCGGCGAAAACCAGCCGTCCGTGCCCTCGTAATTCTTAGGGAACGCTTAATCCCTTCGCGTGTCGCTAATGGAATGAAGCATACGATCGGATCCGTTGATCGAACCGCGGCTCGCGATCTTCCCTCGTAAATTCGGTTCGCGTAATCTTGGCATGCTGTCCCGTCGCATCGGTGGCTGGCGTCGTGCACCGGAAACGGGGTGTGGATTAATTTCGACGTCGTTCCGACCGACTCGATATTTGAAGAAGGATATTTTGTCGAATTGCATTTCTTTGCACGAACAATAAATCATTTTCTCTGCCCTGTGATCGGCCGTTATAAATTGTAAAGTGAAGACCTTCGCCCGACGCGCGGCATAAACATTTCCGAACGAATTTCGACGACTCGGCATCGGTTAATCGGTGGAATATTCACGAACCTTGCGCCGAGCACGAAGTACACAGCGGCGACCCGTGATATTTGTAGTTTAATCGATGCGCTGACCTATGAAACGTTATTCTAAAAAGTTAAAACGAATGAAAAAACAGACCCGACAATCGATTCACCGACCATAGCGATTCCGTCATTTCGAACGTAAGAACTGGTGCCGAATTGCGCAGCTTCGTCGGGACAACACAGTGGATATTATGTAGGTATTCAGTCTCGACCACGCGAAGTGAAACGAACATTTAATTTAATTTAATTTATTAATAGCTATTTAGCCTTTATAATACAGTGTGCTCGAAAATACGTGTGAAGGCGCAGTGCCTCGTGTGGCAATATGTTCAGTGGCAATATAGCTAGAGTCTCACTGTAGACACAGTAGGTACTGTTAAGTGGTAAACTTGTTCTTCAAATTTGTTCAGTGAGTCAGAGAAAAAATCTATTCGGTTCCAGTAGAAATCGGCGGTGTTGCAAATTCTGAAACCTTGAAGACGTCGCGTAAAATAAAGGTTAACAAACGAATCACAATGATTTCTCGTTAAAAGATGGAATAGCGAGCAAACCCTTTGACCCGTTTGATACATCGATGCCAAAGTTCCGGGGGAAACGTTTAAGTCTACCTACCCCGTTCGGAAAAAAAAATCCCGATCGATCACTCGAAAGCCCGAACGAACGCGCTCGCGATTCTCATCGATACCGGCGATCACGGATTGAAAATTGCTCATAAATCTTCGTGAATACTTTACGCGCGTGCCCGCACGGTTGAAAGCCGCCGCGGCAAGACCGAGTAAAAAAATTTCATTGCGGTCAGAAAAAAGTCAAGTTCCCGATGGAATAACCAGAATTGAATTTACAGAAACTCGAAAAGCTTCATTAAGCTCCTTCGCGACTGGTTCATCGATTTCTCGACGATATTCGAGTATCGTAGTCCGTGTATCGTAGAGCTCGCGATACAGACGCGCCGTTCGAATGTAAAGCCGGAACACCATTTATATCGAATTGTCGAGGAAAAAAAAAAAAAGAAACATTGACCGAACCCTCCGGGCGCGGCAGCGTCACGAATTCCGAGAGCCAGTCGACCGATCGGATACATGTTACATCGTTTGATTTCATCCGCCGTCGATTCAAGATACAATTTCCTATCAGCCGAAAAAGCATCCCCGGTAAATATTTTCCGGCGAATCGAAATTTCCGCCCGAGTTCTTTATAACTGTCGGGAATTGTTGATCGAAACATATACTTCGTGTTAATGAAAATTAATTCGCTTTAATGTTTCGCTCCGTGTGAATATCACTTTGGACACCGTGCGTCTGCTTTTAAGTCACGGTTTTATACCTGCGAAATGATGTACGAGTCGAGTGGAACGAAGAGAAAAGCTTCACGGAATACATTCGACGCGCTTGCGACCAGCAAAGACCGTAACGTTATTTCGGATTTCACGCAGTTTACGACGCGACGCGGCTCGATCGCTTCGTTCGGCTTTCCCGTCGCGACGTCATATAGGACCGAACGATCCTGCCTATATCCGCTTAAAGCAATTTTTTGAGCGGCCGGTGATCCGAGAACCGATCGCGAAACACGCCCGGCCGTTTCACGATCGATTCCCCTTTACAAAACCACCGGTACCCGGCTGACCGTTCCGACGATACCACCCGATATTTTTTTTTTTTTTTTTTTTTTTTTTTTTTTCTTCATTCCCTCGCGGACGTTGCGTCGAACGCAAGTGTTTGAGCGTCGAAACTGTATCCGTACACCATCGTATCGGATCGAAGCAAACGCCAACGAACGCGACACTCGATATCAATGGATGACTTCTCCGTCATCGGTCCAAACCGCGTGAAAATCTGCGCGTTACCCTGACCATTGTGCGTTCATTTTCCTTTTTTTTTTTCTCTTTCTCTTTCTGAAACGTTTTCATTGCTCCAAGCACCCTTCCAACCAACCGAAAAACGTCGAAACGATTCGACGAACACGCAACCCCCGTAAGCTCTTCCGTGCGAACGATGAATCGGCTAAACAGAGGCGCGATAGCGCGGAGGGAGGGCAGCAAGTGGAATAATAAACGTAGGCGTAGCCCCGCCGTAACCTCGCCGATAAAGCATCGAATACGTTGGACGTATCCAGGAAACTTCGAAAATAACGAAAAAAACAAAAGCGAAAAGAGAGAGGAATATCCCAGGTTGGCTTATCCGAACCCCGGGTTCGAGAACGAATATTCCTGGAAAAAATATCGTCGCGCTTAATCCGCAAACGATCATAGGGAGTCGATACTGCGCGCGCCGTGCTACAGTTAGAACGAATTTGTTCGAAAGGACTCGCTCGAAAATGCATCGACCATCTATTACCGAGTTTTTGCCGAACGGTAAAGGGTCCCTTCTTGCGCTCCGAATCGCGGCGGTATGCCAATCGGTTTAAAAAGTTTCGCCTGTGATTTTGAAATATTTCGCTGGACGGGCCGACACGGGAACCAGATATTTCCCGTCGAGTTCAATCGAGTTTAAACCGGTCCGTTATAAAGTACCGGCTTCGCTCGTACTGACGCGGATTTTCTTCTCTGTCGCAGTGCCGCCGGAACAGCCGACCATTCTGGATCAATGGGGAAGGATAGTGAACGGGACGGCAGGACCTTACGAGGAAGGCGACACACCGTCCCTGACTTGTCGCGTCACTGGAGGTAAGTCCACGGAATTATTCTTGCTCGTTCGACCAAACGTATATACATAAGTATACAGTGTTTCTCAAAATAACGTCGACTCCCGGAAATGAGGGATTCCTGGGGTGATTTGGAACAACTTTTTCCTTAGCGAAAATGTTATCCGAGGCTTTGTTAACGAGATATTAACAAAACAAAACCCGTCCAATCAGAGCGCGAGTCCAGTAGCAGCGAGCACCAATGGCAGCGCGCAGCCAACACTACCGCGGGTGCTTGGCCACAGACTCGCGCTCTGATTGGTCGGGGTTTTTCGTTAATATCACGTTAACAAAGCTTCGGAGAACATTTTCGTTAAGGAAAAAGTTGTTTCAAATCATCTCGGGAACCCTTCGTTTTCAGGAATCGAAGGTATTTTGTGATACCCTGTAGAATATACAAGGCATAGTCGTTTTTTATTCTCTCTCCATCGTCAAAGTTTCCGTAAAGACGCCCGATGACCCCTCAACTTACGAATCGTCCACCGATCGAGAAGTTTCTGTCCGTGGAAACGGTAACAACCGACCGTTTCCCTGCCGTCGAAAGGACTCTTATTGTTAGACTACGACGAATCCGAGATACGTGGGATTTGGTAAACGCTCCCGTAACTTTCCGAGTCGGGCAAGTTTTTAACGGTGTGCCATACGGTAGCGTCTCGAATGTTGGCGCGGAGTAAACACGGAAGCCGGGAACCGAACTAGTCGGGAATGAAACTTTTCCTTTCTCTTCGGTGGATCCTATCCGAGCCGGGAGGTCGCACGCGCTGCTTTCTCGAGCATTCGGTCTTTAGTTCGTCGCGAAATCGTCGGCGAGAATTCGATCGGGACACGCTGGATGGGGGATGAAAGATCGAGGGAACGACGAACGGGGGAACACGGAGAGAAGAAGAGGGCAGACGCGACGCGACGCCACGCGAAGCCAGTGGTGTCGCCAGTTATTAGATCAAGCAACTTTTTATCGACGACCGGGGCTAAGTGAAAAGTTCCACGTTCGGGCGGACGCGACGCGAAAGGAAGTCCTTCCTCGGAGGGCGTAAGAGTGGATGGGAAAGGAAGGAAGGAAGGAAGGAAGGAAGGAAGGAAGGGGTTGGGGGAAGGGGTGTGGTAGGACAGGGACGAAGAACGGGGGTACGGAGGATCAAGCGTTCCCGGGTGAAACGGGAGAGAGGAAGCACCAAACTACCAAGGTTCCGGTGTTTACTTTGGCAACTGGATCTAAATTTCTGTTTATAACTGCGGCAACTTCTTCGTCCGCCTTAAAAGATTATTTCCTCCCCTCTTGCCCTGCGGCCGTCTTTCCCCCTCGCAGCCTCTCCAGAGTTTGCCGTAGACGGGAATACGTCCCCGCTGTCCTCCGAATCGATTATACGCGGCTACGTTCGTCGCTAAGTGATTTTCCCACGATTCCTATCGCGGCTCGGTGGTATATTTAAGAATAAATTCGTCCCGTAACAATCGCGCGAACGCGAGAATAATTCTCGGTCGGTTTAACGGACGAGCCCGCTGTGAACAGAGCGCACCAACGAGGAACGATGTTGCCCGAGCTATACACGGGTACTTATACGATGAAAGACGCGAAAACAATTCTGATCCATACATCGCGAGTTGGATAACTACGGTACAAATGCGGCAGGAGTGTACGACGACGATTCGAAGCTCATCGGCGCTGCCAGTGCCCGCGATGAATACATCGAAATTCGAAGCCAGGAATATTGCCGTATGCAGATTCAATGGGAATTGCATCGACGCTGCGCATCGATCATACGCACTGCGGCGTATAAATTGAATATCGAGAAGATCGGCTTATCCTTAACAATACCGCCCGGCGAAACCGCTGCGAACGATCCCCCGTACGAACGGGAGCGTAGAATTTTCATTTAATTGTAAATCATCCTTAAAGAGGGAAGAGAAGATTGCTTCGTGCCCGGGGTACGAGACTGATGCCGGCCAAATATTTGCCTTTCTTTTTCCGACTTTGGCGACGCAACCGGGGCGCCCGTCGTACCGTCCGAAATTTATTTTTCACCGAATGCATCGGTCCGATCCCATACAATCGTCGTTCCTCCGCGAAAGCTCCGCAATGAAATTTGACGACTTCGCGATGTTTATTCGATTTCGCGAGGGAACTCGTCGCTCGTATTCCTCGGTTCTTCGTTTCGCTGGGATCACCGATGGGAAACAAACACGATTTTCGCGTTTCGTTATACCTATCGCGAAGAAGCGGATGAAAGTTTCATTCACGCCGGACAACACTCGACATTTTCGTATTCAGGGTGTCTCGGCTAACTCGATCACCTCGAATAATAATTTTTAGGCATGGAACTTAAATGGCATCGATGCTTTTTTTGTAGATGGGGGCATTTCAGAGATTTCAAGGTGACTTTGATTGTTTTTAACAGAAAGTCCTATTTTTTGAACCATAGATAGAGTATCAAATTCTCAGTAAAAATGTGTCAACCTTCATATGTCCTAAGCCTAATAGTTAACGAGATATTTAGGAAGCTATGGGTACTCTAATCGATTCTCCCCAACTTCAATACAGTGATTATTTAGTAAATATCTTATTAATTATTAGATTTAGAACGTATGAAGATCAACACACTTTTACTCAAAATTTAAAGTAAAAAAAAAAAACAAGTTGATCTTGAGATCTTCGAAATCCCTCCGCCCACAAAAAAAGCACGTACCTTATAAAATGTGCCCCTTGGGGCCATTTAAATTCCACGACTGATAATTTTCATGAACGGTACCGTTAAGTCATTATTCGAGGTGATCAAGTTAGCTGAGACAGCCTGTACATATACACCCACGATCTATCGGACACTCTCCCTGTACAGCCGCAGGTCCTCCGACGTGTCCCCGGTATTCCTGTTACCGCGGCACTTCGGCAAAGATTTGCAATTCAATCGACGGCCAAAGCTCGGAAACGCTCGCCCATCGATGCGAAATTACACCATCGAGGGCGGGAGAGGGGGGAGGAAGGGTATACTTTACCGATTAAATGTTAATTCACGACGTTCGGTGACTTTCACGAGGCCGAACGGTTTCGCCCCAGTCTGTCCCGTGAAGATCGCGAATATCGAGGGTATATACATATAGGTTATTTACGCGAGAATGAAAAAAAATCGTCTCGAACGTCGGCCAATACCAGATCCGATTATTCAAACGAGGAATACCGTTCGAGACGACGAATTTCATTCTACCCTTTGAGCCCCGTTAAAAATTCGCGAACCACGCGTTTTATTGCGAGCTTGTTCTCGATATTTATATCGGCACTTTGTTTTCTCTGTCCGGAATTCGATATTGGTTCCAGGCGCGTTGCTCTTCGCGGCACCGATTTACCCCGTGCGGATTTCCCGAAAAATTCGTCGGTTGATAATCACACCAGCGAAAAGAAACGTTGTCGCGGGAACGAATAATCGCCGGGTTTATAGAACGTCGTTGATTTCCGGCGAGAATCCCGCATTGCCTACCGTGTCGTGTCGCGGGCCGGACAGTGTAATCTCCATAAAGTGAACGAAATCGCGGGGAACGACGGCGACGTTATGAAATTCGAGAACGAATATCCAGAATTCTTCTCGCGATTCATCGCTCCTTGTCCGGCGCGAAATACACCGGCGGACTGTTCGCGCAATGAAAACGCACGACCGGTATTAAAATAGTCCTGGTGATTCGACGTTCGTTTAAATTCGTCGGCGCCCGCGATTCCGCCTGGAACATTGAAGCGCATAGGCCTCGTTAATTGTACACGAGACGCAGCGCACGCTAACTCGCTCGAGCTTTATCTTTTCCCCCGAGGTGGGGACGGGCGATAAATATTTCGCGGTGTTCTCGACGACGTTGCGCCAGCAGCAACGATTAACCGTAATTAGCGGTCGACTGGGCGGGGTCTTGGGTGAATGAAACGTCAACCCGTCCGAGGAATTCGAAAAATCTCAACTCCGTGACTGCGCGACATTGTCGGACCTCGGTCTTTAGCGGTTAATCGTGGTCCGTCTCGTCGTAGTGCGTCGTCCACGGATAATCTATTATACCTATATCCTTCTCCCGACCGCTCTATTATACGCGATTTACAACTAAGCCTAACTTCCTCCCTCGCGCTCCGTGTTATCTATAATTTATGGCAATAGCGGCGAGAAAATTTTACGACTCGGGGCCCGCCCACGGAATTTATTGCCAATTACTTGACTTCGTGCCCGGAAAGAATCGAGGGTCCTCCTTCGAGGATGTATACGCGCGTAAAGGTGAGATGTTCGTTCGCCTATCTCTAGCTTCGCCCCCCCCCCTCCCTCGGCGTACGTACGGGGATCGAGAGAAAATTCCTTTTCCCTTTTCGCCTTCCGCATACGGGATCCTGCCGCGAGAGAGGCAGAGATATCCGAATTGGGAATCGGACCTGAATTCAACGTTCAGAAATAATAAAACACGTGTTCCGATGCGTGCACGTGTGCGTTCGTCGGAGAGATATATAATTTTGTCAGATTTTCGAAAGTCGCGACCTGAACGGGTCATCGAGCACCGGCAATATAGCCAGTTTACTCGAATAATTATCCGACGGGAACACGGGGACCGCTCTACATCAAGCGCGATGCACTTTGCCTATTTCCCCGGGGTGTACGCATAATGTCGCGGGATCGTAATCTGCTCGGCGGCGTATTGGCCTAGCGAGAGGGAATATTTATTTCTCAATCCTCTTCGCGGAAACCGGAACTCGCGGCACCATAAAAGATATTAAAAATTATTCGAGACCGAGGGGAGCAAGCGAGCCTGCAACATCGGGGATGCTCGCGCGTCGCGCCGTGCCGCACGACCTACCACGTTTCATCCATTAGAAATATTGCAAACTTTTCGACCGCTGTTCAGAACCTCGTGGGTTCCTTGATTTTTGCACCTCTCCCGGGACGACTGGGTACTTGAGCCCCTCGAATCGGTCGTGGTTATCCCATTCTCTCGTACTGTACACATTCTACGACACGTGTGAATCCGTTATCGCGTGAATTACATCAAGTGTTTCGTTTGTTCGTACGTTCACTCGATTACTCGAACAATTTCGAAACAATTAAACGCGGTTGTCTGTTAGCAACGAGATCGCCGTTGTACTCGTTAAACCGAGAACTGGCTGTAAGTTCGGCTTATACATAGAGGCGTCTTCCGATAATCCTAAATCCAAGGGGCCCTGAATCGGGACGAGGACGAAACCAAAGAGGTTCGAACGGGAATAGGGATGGGCTGTGCTGGTCCGGGTGGTTGCAGGGTAACGGGGGCTCGAATAAAGGGGCGACACTCGAAGGAGGAAATCTGGCAAGGACCCGGGAGTCCCAGCGATGGGTATTTGCCTTAAGGAGAGTTCGAACCGACGGTAAACTTGTTAGATGTGGGCGAGTAGCTGCGGACCTGCCTTAATCCTGGAAGATATCGCGTCCGGTATCCACGGATTAAAATCCGCACTTTACTGCCCCCTGCCGCGTGGATAGGGTCGGTGTTGTCGTCGTTTTAAGCGAACCTCGTCCCGAAGAGAGGGGAGAGTTCGAATATAGTCGGACAGTTAAAGTCAACGCCAGGGGCGTACCGAACTCCCATACCCCCCCCCCCCTAAACCAGAACCGAAGCTAAAGCCAGGCCACCGCCTTAGTCCTTCTCCCATTCCGCAGCCACGCAACCGCGCTACGACCTCAGGTCTCGGCCCTAAGCACTCGTGCAAACGACCTCACCGGCTGAGCTTACGAATTAACTAGCCTCGTCCGTCCTCTAGTTCCTACTCTCCGTCCAGTTAAAAAAAAAATCACTTCGAACTCTGTCGAACGGAGAACCACGAATCGTTCTCTCCACGCGTTACGTACCGTTCGAAGCAACATGGGACATCGGATCTCGTCGCGCCGTTTTCTGTCCACCGTATGGAAACGAACGGGGAAAGGGGAACCGTCGGAAAAGCGGAACAAACGATAGCGAGGAGAATCGGAAACGACGAGACGGTTAAAACGCAATCTAGATCGACGAGCACCGTGAATAACAACGACTGGCACGGAGCTAATCTAAGCGCGCGCTTCCATCCGGAGATCAAGGCTTGCAATTTTAAGTGTCGCGGCGATGTTGCGTCGCGTCGGCCCGATTAAATTGCGATTCCGTCACCGTACACCATCGTGAATAACAATGAAAGGAGCGACGTAAACCGTTTCCCATTCCTGCCCCGCAGAAGGGGTTTTCCATCTCTCTCGCCCTCTCTCTCTCTCTCTCTCTCTCTCTCTCTCTCTCTCTCTCTCTCTATCCCTTTCTCTTTCTATGTCGAGACCGCCCGCCGCCTTTTCCCGCACCGGGAATTTCACCGCTCGCCGTTCGATAGACGCGCCGCGCTTTTTCCCCGCTTTATGATTTCTGACCCATTACCGGCGCATACCTGACTCTTATAATGCTCGTATATCATTCGAGCCGTTTTATCACCATAACCGGCAGCTTTTTCCAATAAAAATATGCATCTAGCCACGGAGCCGCGTATTATTCGAGGGAGATATGTAAATCCGTGATATAATACGGAGTCTATCCACGGGAACGTTCCTGCGAATCGAACTCGCGATACCGATATACCCCGGGTACGCCCTCCTCGTCGAACCATCTATTTTCGATAAACGTTGCTTTCACGAAGCACGTATATAACGTAGGAGGGGGGAAGTGGGGGCGCGACCGGTTAAAGAGATCGTTGCTCACCCAGCGGGGAACCCTTATTTATCAGATTCACGAATATGAAATGTTGAACTACACGGGCAGGATAACGTACGAGAAACGACGCCGTTCGAGAAAGCGTCTTCTATTTAAAACGACACGCGTAGCCAGCCTCGTACAGTCGGCGGAGGTTCGAAATCCGCGAGTCGTCGTGAAATGAAGACGATCCAGATTTACTTTTAATATTACCGACGCTTCGATCCGTTTCCCCGCGTTCGCGTATCGTTCTGTAATTGATATCTATACAGATGTACAATATCGATTCGCCGTGGAAAATGGTGGAGACTGTAACGCGCAGTTTATCGGAGCGACCGGCACAAAAGTACGCCGGTTTTTGTCTGGAGCAACGTATCGAAAACTGCCGGGGTATCGGCTAATTTAAAAGTTCCCGAGAGCTCATCTACTCTTTAGTAGCTTCGCCAAAGCTCGTCCCGGCTCTGTGTACACCGACCATCCCCCTTGTCCACTGGCGTCCCTTCCGTTCTCCGTTGATCCGGCACCGACCAATGGTTTCGACTCTTGGTTCCGCGAGGAACGGTCGTTGCGGACCGTCTTTCGTGTAGGTCCAGGCAAGTTTCCACGAGACCGCGAACGGTCTCTGCTATCGTTTCGTAAATCTTCACGGGGCAGTCGTTACGTTCGATCGAGTCGTTATCCGACCTGAGCTATAACCTGGTGTTCGATCGAAACGGAATCGTGAACGGAGACGTTCTATTGTCGCGCAATCGACGCGAATAAAAATTACAAGCCGTAACTATCCACGATCGAACTATGTATATATGTACATTCTACGTGTTCCCTAACGACTCGTTAATTTACATTGCAGGAAGACCAGAGCCTATGGTCCGGTGGCTCATCGACGGCCAAGTCAAAGACGAGGAGTACGAGAAGAACGCCGGCGACGTCATCGAGAACAGGTATCGTGTCGCACGATCTCAAACTGGATTTTTCTGCTCGTTAGTAAAGCTAAATAACCGTAAGGTTTCGGAAAATATAAAAGTTTCAATCGTTCGCTGCGACAGGTTGACCCTACAATCCATCGGTCGATCCGACCTCGGAGTGAATTTCACTTGCCAGGCACGAAACACGGACCTGATCGAGGCGAAGGTGTCCTCGATCACCCTGGACCTTAACCGTAAGTAACAATTAACCCGTACGACTTCCGAAACGGTGGGGAAAGGTATAGCTGTAAGAGGAAAACAAGGGCGAGGGCTGGGGTTATCGGGCTACGAACGGAAACGTTCGATATCCCTAAGGGCGAGCGGGCGTTCGCCATAGGCAACGGCGGAACGCCGTTAAAAGAGGAATGAAATAAAGACAAGAAGTAGATACAAATTCTTATCGCGTGGCTAACAAATCAGAAGCCTCACCCCGAGCGCCTATCTTGTCCCGCATTAACGATAAGATCTACGAGACAGCGAAAGTGGGCCAACATCCTTTGCTCCCTCGCCGCTGTGAATCGCCTTTAAGGGAAGATAAGGCAAGATAAGACGAGAAATATATTAAATCCAGCCTGGAGCCCCACCCGGCTCATCCATCCCCGCCCTCCACGCTGGCTAGAAAGCCGAAGAAACCCATGAAACCGGGCCAGCCCCGAGCTTTCGCAAAATTAGAATTCTTCGTTAACTCACGGCCGTCCTATAAGCCGGAACAGCGAAACACTAATTTCGAGAGTAAACTGAAAAATTCATAGATCAATTATCTGCGTTGCCGTCGTCGGTGGTGGTGATAGTGACTCTGCCGTAACGACCAGGAGGGGAGAAACTTGGATGAGAAACGATACGCCTAAAGGGAATCTCGTTTCACCGGGTCGTCTCCCCCTCCCCAACCCTCTTCCTAGGAACCGACAGTTTACGGAAACTCTCATCCCCTTGCCTGGTCTCACCACGCTAGCTCGCGAAAATATTTACCGTTGTCCCGTTGATTTTCCGCTTCCTCTTTATCCCCCGCCTACGAAATTCGACAAAATTGGGATTCCGCGAAAAAGAAAATACGAACGAACGAACGAACGAACGAACGAACGAACGAACGGACGGACGGACGGACGGACGGACGGACGGACCAACCGATCGCCGACCGTGATTGATCGGCGCTGAATTATCGGTGCTTCCGAAAGTCACGAAATTTTCGACGAAGCGAACAGCGAAATTGAAGATCCGTTATTGGTGAACGAGAACACCCATCATAGCGGTGAACGAAAAAAAAAAAAAAAAGAGAAAAAAAAAATTCTGCGCTTCGTACGCAGAGATAACGAAACGAGGAACGAAAGAGGATGCGCGGGGTTGTGCCGATTCCGAGCGAGAGAGAAAGAGACAGAAGGAGGAGTGGGGATGAAAAAAAAAAAGAGGCAGAGAAACGAAAAGAGACGAGGAGAGGATTGATGGATGCTCGCTCTTTGATTTTCGCGACCTGGACCAAGTGACCATGCATCCCAGCGTGTATTCATCTCATGGCTGACGGAACAAAAAACGAAAGAGAAATTAAAAAAGCCCTGAGCGGTGACGAGGCGAACCGCTGTTGTCGGGTCTGGTGGATCGGCGAGATCGCGGATAATCGAAAACGCCAGGTGATTCTGAAAATCCGGGAAATCAAATATTTGCTGGCACGCGAACCAACGTTCGGTGTGTCGTTCGATTAAAAATTTGTAATGCAACGCGGCTCGCCGTCCCGAACCACCGTGGCTCGTTAACATAAAATCGAAAAGTCATTTCGGTGGGTACGCGGCCGCGATCGTGACCAGGCCTGGCGACACGAACGAACCGAAACGGGACAACCGGAAGGAACCGATCGCCCGTTCGAAGAACGAACGGGGGAAAAAAATCGCGAAACTCATTATCGAAGAGCCAGATAGACGAAACGACGCGCGAACGGGATACATACACACGACCCCCACCAAGCCTGTCCTCATAGTTTTCATATTTCACGCACGAATGGATCGTATCTGGGTCGGTATTGGCCAATTCGAAACGCGGATTTATCGTCCGTCAAAGCGATCGTCGCCTGCCCGCTGAAACTGAAAACAGTATCGTTCCGCGCATTTACACACACAGACGGGCGCCCGGAAAAATCAATGTTTATCTCCGAATAATGATCGTTATCGCGTAGAATTACGGAACGGAATCGGTCCAATAGTGCGCGAACGGGGCTCTCTGCTCGTTCCATTCTTTTCACGTTCGATTATCGAAGGAGAAGGGGAACATTGGGAAGGGAGGGGAATCGTTGGCCTTATTTTTGCGTTCGCTTGCACACGAATCGCGGGGCGAGCAATTGAAAAATGACAAATGATCGGTAATTGACCGATTGCACGCGGGTTTTACAGCGTTAAATCGGCCGCACGATTTGCATCGAGCATCGCGTACCTTACCCAACCGCGCACCCCCCACAGCGTGGTTCGTCCGCCTTAATTATCGGTTCGCTTTAATTATCGCGCCCGATTAGCGTCGTTGGTCCGTGTGATTGCTGGATTCGGGTGATTCGAAAAATACGGGGACCACCACAGCGTGTTATGTCGTTCGGTTGTGAGATCGTCGGTGTTTTTTGCACGCGAACGAATCGTGTCGGTGTACCTCGTTGTCGATCGACTTAACCGAGGGCTTTGATTTTCAGTGAAACCTTTGACGGTGATCATAAGAAGGCCAGGGAAAAAGGGAGTCGGGAACGAGTCTTTGCTGGCTGGAAAACGGTACGAGGTGGAATGCGAGACCACGGGATCGAGGCCGCCGGCGGTGATCACGTGGTACAAGGGACGAAGAAGACAACTGAAGCACACCACGGTGAGAAACGAAAATCAAGACACGATAACCTGTTGTTTGACAAAGAATCCCATCTCCTCCGGGACTGTTTTAATTTTCCATCGAGTAAATTTGATATCCTCGCGGCAAGTTTAGAACACGTGACCGGATTAACGCGATATCATAAGCGGCGATAACTTCTCGACATCTCGTCGCTGCTCGAAAACATTCCCCGAGCAACGGACCAACCAGATGACAGACCATTATACGGGCAACTGCGAGCCCGATAATCCGGGCCGCTATCGCTTTCTAATTATTAGCGCATCACCTTAACGAAATTTGTCGTGTCCAGGCGGCGGAACAAAAGGCAGCGCGGCATTTAATTAACATAGTGATGGGGCAACTGAGCGTCCGCCAAACTCACTAGCGGGCAACAACGTGCAGCATGCGGGCATATGGCAGTGGCCGACACAAGATCAGGTTGCTTCTACCTGTTTTTGGGGGGGGGGGAGGGTCAAGGAATGCCAATACGCAAATATGTCGTTACGTTTCCTGCCTCGCGTCGCCATCACAGGAGCCCGCGGCTGCACGCTTCTTGCCCGAGCGGGCTCGATTGTCCATCGCTGAATTAACAGCTAAGCTGCTTATTATACCCGGCGCGTTGGGTTGGGCGCTCGTTAATTAACCGGGCCCCGTCCTCGAGGGCTGGACGCAGCTAGGATGAAATACGGTAACGCGTCCTGACACTAAGGTATTTCAATTTCACTTCCTTTAAATTTAAATCAGACTGTCCGTCTCCGTAAATTACAGCTCTGTACATCCGCGCCGCTTAACGTCCCGCGTCGAGCTGAACACGTTCGTCGCTGAAAGGAACGCGAGGTTCTTTTTTTTTTTTTTTTGCGTGGGCATAAAATTACGCGATGTCCCGGCCGTTTTCGGATCGGGTACGATTGTTTTCGCGTCTACTATTATCACGTCGGACGACGACAGTCCAGCCGATACTACTCGTCGGGGATTCCGTGTTCCCGCGATGGAAAAACGATCGGACCCGCTAACGAGCCTCGTCGGTCCTCTAACGAGGGAACGGGAGACGACGCGAAACGACTCGATTCGACTCGACGCGACAAAGAGTGTTCTCGAGGACACGGTGGTTAAATCGTGGCCGGCTCGATTTCCCAGCAGTGAAAGAGAGTTACGACGAGGTGAGTCGCAGCTAGGACCACGGGAAATGTTCTGCCGAAGCTCGCCATCGCCGGAAGAAAGAACGACGGAAAGGAAAGACGGGGAAGAAGCTGCTGGGAGGAACGGAAAGGAGGGAAAGGTTGAAAAGGTCGAAACGCTCCGGGGAACCGATAACTATACCCCTCGGTGGCGAATCGTTCCCCTGGGAGAGGTTCACGGCGCAGAAACAGAGTCAAAGCTCTATGGCCTGGACGAAGACGAGAAAGAACGAAACACGTCGCGTCGGTCGAGCAGAACCGGTCCGAGAGGAGAGACGGAACGAGGAGAAGAAGAATCGAGGCGGCGAACGAAGAAGCGAGGATTGGTACTCTTCTCGAACGGATTGGATTCGCCCTGCTTCGAGTCGCATTCGATTGTACGAGCTTGAAACGAGGGGGATGGAGGAGTCAAAGCACGGGGAACGGGGGGAGGGGTTGAAAGATACGATTGGAGGCCCCGTGCTTTCGAGCCAGGCCGATTGAATTAAACAGCCACACCTGTCGACCCCAGATATCTTCATTGACCGCATGCTAATTGCCAATTAAGCAATGCCGATTACACGGATCCGCGGCTAACGTTTTACCCGTCGTGTCGCTTCTACTTGCATACTTTGTTCTTCGTACACGAGTGGAAACGACGACGCACCGCGCCACGCCGCGACGGGTCGCGTGAATAGGTACCTACGTGACGGCAACAAAGTATCTATCGCGATCATTTGTACAGTGGTTTGAAAAGCGAGACGACACTGAACCCACCTGATCGTGCAACCGTGACGGTACCACCGAACTCTGCCACTTTCGCAAGCTACGTATCATTTCACTACTCGGGAAAAAGTAATTGATACTAAAGTAACAACTAGTGATACTAAAGTAATAACTAGTGATACTGAAGTAACAACTAGTGCTACTAAGGCAACAACTAGTGATACCGAAGTAAAAACTAGGGATGCTTAGGCAACAACTAGTGATACTGTAATAACAACTAGGGATGCTAAGGCAAGAACTAGTGATACTGAAGTAAAAACTAGGGATGCTTAGGCAACAACTAGTGATACTGTAATAACAACTAGGGATGCTAAGGCAAGAACTAGTGATACTGAAGTAACACCTAGTGCTACTAAGGCAACAACTAGTGCTACTAAGGCAACAACTAGTGATACTGAAGTAAAAACTAGGGATGCTTAGGCAACAACTAGTGATACTGTAATAACAACTAGGGATGCTAAGGCAAGAACTAGTGATACTGAAGTAACACCTAGTGTTACTAAGGCAACAACTAGTGATACTGAAGTAATAACTAGTGATACTGAAGTAACAACTAGTGCTACTAAGGCAACAACTAGTGATACTGAAGTAAAAACTAGGGGTGCTTAGGCAACAACTAGTGATACTGTAATAACAACTAGGGATGCTAAGGCAAGAACTAGTGATACTGAAGTAACACCTAGTGTTACTAAGGCAACAACTAGTGATACTGAAGTAATAACTAGTGATACTGAAGTAACAACTAGTGTTACTAAGGCAACAACTAGTGATACCGAAGTAAAAACTAGGGATGCTAAGGCAACAACTAGTGATGCTAAGGCCACAACTAGTGATAATGAAGTAACAACTAGTGATACTAAAGTAATAACTATTGATTCGAAAGTAATACTAGTATTATTAGAAGTATTACTTTACAAAATCTTACTGTTCATTTTCGTAAAAGATACCAGTCGACTGGCAAGATACAATCCGAATGGCGATATCGAAACCATTACATTGAAATTATTGTACTAATTACCATTGTACCACGTTCTCGAATAAAAAAAAAATATCAGTTGTTTAAACGATGTACCTCTGACCAATATCAAACAAGGCTATTTCGCGTTAAATTAATATACGTTTATGAATATACTTTCACTACAAAACATTTCTGAATTATATTACGAATAATAAACGCGTCGTACAAGAAGACCGTAGCCTCGCTAAGAAACACAACAGATCGATGTCACTACTCGCGGTTATGATTGCATATCGCTGCTAGGGTCGAGCGGCAAGCCGCCTGTTTAGTCATTTATGAGTCGCTAGCTACACCTGCTGACCAGTCTACGTGTGTGGTGGAGACACAGAGAGTGTCGGTTTTCGCTCTATCTCTATCACACACAGACTGCTCAGCAGGAGTAAGCTACCGTTGACACGTTTATGGTCACGCCAGTTAAACGACAAAGCAGACGTCTTACTCGTCGACCCTAGCAGCGAGCGATTCACCCTATATATGCCCTACGGTGGCAACGTCGACGGATATTAGCGATAGGTAGGCGGAACGTACTCGTTCGTTCGAGTGAGGGCTCATCGCGCCGAGTTGCGCCGTGCCGGTAGCTCGTAATCTTCCCACTGTCCAACGTAATCTCCCGTTCGGTCGAGCGGGCAGATACGCTCGGACCTAAATCACGACGGTTAGGCGCGGAGCCCGAGGCGCCTCGCATTATCGATAATCCGGAATCACAGATGTAACTCGCGGCGCACGTGTACGCCGAGCATCCAGTTCCCGTTGTCTCCGGCATGCTGACGCGCGGCCCTAATTAATTTCGCGTAGTTCATTAACAAGCCCTGGCCGCAACGCTTAACGACGCCTCGCATCGCCTCACCACGCCTCGGCTCACCGTATCCGTGCGCCAGCAGTCGCAATATTCTCGCCCGTTCTCTCGCCGTGTGTCGTTCCCATCGTCGGGGTTGGGTTTCCCGCTCGGAGACCAAGACTTCGTCGCGTCGCAACGGACTGATTAACGGAGTAAACGACAGCCACCGATGGAAACGCGGCTGAATTCTAAATCGAGTCAAAACAACCGTCTCGCCGTGACGGGACGAGAGAGAAAACCAGTAGCTCTAGGCTCTCGTCGAACTTTTACGCGACGAAATTAAAATTCTTTGACGACAACCGCGGGTCCGGATACGTGTGAAGATTCACCGATAGGGACCTACGCCTTGTCGCGCGCGCATCGAATATTCAGGGTACGCGGAGAATTTTAATGAATTCCAGCAACGCCCCTTACCTTTACTCCGCTATCTGGATGGTGGTTGACGGACGGCCGCCTGACGGCTGACACGTCCGCGTGAAAGCAAGAAACCTGGTGACTACCACTCCGACAACCGACCAATTTGTCGAAACTTGGACGATTATTTGTCGAATGTTACGCGCCCACGATCAGCCTGTTTAAGCCCCGACGAGGAGGTATTCCCCCTGACGGAACCACGACTCGGAAGGATTTCCCGTGATGACAGAGATCGAGAGATATAAAATGGGGTTGTTAGGGGGAGGGGGCAGAGAACGTAAGCCGTTAAAGGGGTGAAAGAGGCGGGCGATAAGGGGACGTCGTGGCTCGTTTTCGCGGTGACGACGAAGGTGGCGACGTGCCTCCTTAAAATTCGCGATGGCGCGGCTTCTAAGCGGCAGATAATAAAATATAGCGAGGCTTTGCGCGTTGTATAAGCGACGGTAAGAGGAACGGACGAGGATCCTCGATCCCAGGAATCCTTGGAAAGAAAGGGTATTCGTTGGGGCTGCGCGACGCCGCGCGAGGGGATGGCCTCGGAGGAAGCCGAGGACAGATATTAACGTAAGCAGATCCTACGAGCGACGGAACACGTAGACTGCTTCTATCGCATTACCATCCTGATTATCCTATATAGTCATCCGAGCTGTCTTCGGGCGTTCCCCACGAACCCCGTATTACGTGGCCCCGGCCGGGAAGCGTTTCGTTAGCGGCGCGAAAGCGCCGAGAAAACTGCGATAGAGCCGCGTATAATCGCGCGGTATATTATCTTTATTCCCTGTCCGTTGGCGCATCCGCGCGCACTTAAGACCGTATAAATATTTCTAAATGAAATTCCGCAACGACTTTGCGCGTACCTTTTCCTTTTTTTTTTCTTCTTCTTCTTCTCTCTTCTCCGCTTTCTTTCTCCCTTTGCAGTCGTCCACGGGCGGAACACGTTCGAGTCGGGGAAAATTAGAACGGGAAAAACAAATGCAATTCCCGCGGTCGGTTAACGCGAGAGTTCCTTCGTTACGCTGGGGAAAGTGGGATCCCTTTCGCCTTCATCCCTATTGCGCACGGACGTGACATACATAGGATGGACCACTCTCTTCTTACGGGATGTCTCGAGGGATCTGGTAGGGGGGGTTGGATAGCCTGTGACTTTAACGGCCTGTACGTTCCAGGAACGATAAATTCCGAATTATACAGTATATGACGTTTTATGGATAAAATTGATAGGGAGACCTTTGTAGGACACTTGAGAAAGGCGAAAACAAGGGACAGACGCGTTCGTCGCGGAGGATGCCTCGGGTCCTCGTTTCGCAACCGACGAATGTATCGGTTGACACGCTTTGAAACGAAATTCCGGGTCGAAGCAACGGGCAGAGGACTTTTTCTCCCGGTGGCGGCGACGGCGAGTGGGTGGAAAATAAATAGAAAAACGGGACACCTGGAGAGTCTCGCCGGCGTCAGAAGCTGCCGGTAAAATTCACGCTCGGTGGAATCCGGCGTGGCTCTTTAGAAAGGATTCCAGGGCGTTAGCAATGAATTTCCAGCAGATGTTGCCGACGTTGCTTACGGTCCGCCTCTCGACCTTAATATAACCAAAATTAACCATACCGAGTGCCGTCGAACTCGTTTTGCCCATATTCTTCCTTCCCTTTTTATCTTCTCTCCGCCCCTCTGGCTCCCGTTTCTGGCCATCCAGCGCCCCGGAATTGGACCGAGGCGACGCCCGGATTCAACGGAAGAGAGAGTAGCCGAGAATACCGTGGAAAATTATTATTTTCCAAAAATTACGCCCGCTGGAATAAACAGGTGCGACGCGAACAAAAGAAGCTTCGAAATGACCGTTCGCGCTTAATTGTAGCTTACGTAAATTCTTCAAGGGTAAAGAAATCTATTCCGAAGTATTCACACGGAACGAGACTAAAAAATTGAATATTTGGGAAAATCAAGTCTACGAAACCTAGTTTATAATCTTGGATTATTTAACGTCTAACATGTGGTCGTCTGTCACGCAGGAAGAGAGATCGGAGAACCGTACGATGAGCATGGTGGAGTTCGAGCCAGGCGTAGAGGACCACGGCAAGTCGATCACCTGCAGGGCCGAAAATCCAAACGTGACGGGACTGTTCGTGGAGAAATCCTGGAAAATCGACGTCGTCTGTAAGTAGACGATAAATATATATTCTATCGGTCCTCTTTCCGCGGAGGAGATTCCCGGAACGCGATGTCTCGACCCGACCTTTTACGAGCGGGACGTGACGTTAAATGCATATTCGATGATTCCGTGCCTCGAAACTAACTTATTGCGCGTTCCGGGTATATACGTACCCTTAATGCATGCATACGCATCATTGCGGGCCAAGCGTCGTAAAACGAATAAAGCATCGGTACGGCATCGGGTATCCCTCTGCCTCATCTTCCATCGAGCCGCATCGTGAAATCGGCCGATTTACGAGCCTTTTTACGTCGAGTGCGCGTCACCCTCCACTTCAACCTCCCCCCCCCCCTGTTTCTGGGGGCTGTGCTCTGTTCTTCTTTTTACAGCCACAATAAAACGGCCTTTCGGCCGGATTTCGAGCGAATTACTGCCGAAATTCAGCGGGACCGATCGTTCCGCGCCTACGCGGAACCTGTTCGGTAATCCGGTCGATCGTAAAGCGACGAGAAAAAAAAAGAAGTGGCTAGATATCGTATATAGAAGGACAGATCGTAACTCGGAGGAGGCCGCCAATGAACTTAGCCGTTTTAGACGATCCCCGACGATGTTTTCCTTTTTTCCTGAACTCTGTATGCGCGCGCGTTCCGTTTCGCCACCCTCGCGGCAGCCACTTCCGTTCACTCCTCTTCCGTTCTTCCCGTCACGCTCATGGAGTCGGTTAAAATAGTCATCGGGCGCGAACACGCTCGCTTTTCACGGAACGTCTCCTTCGTTAGTCCCTCGCCTTCCAACCGAATCCATACCGTGCCACCTAAAAAAAGAAAAAAAAAAAAAACGAAACGATCGGCGGACGGGTACGTCCGTTGCGCGGAATCACGCGACCATGAATACATATACGTTTTTACGAGATTATTTTTATTTATTACACCGGACACACCTGCTGCACGGACGCTGCCCATGCCCCCCCACCCCCCCACCCCCCCGGCTGATGGCCAGCAGCTCGGTTTATCGGAACCGGCCACGGCGAAATTCATCCAGACCCCCAGTTAAGTTAATATTTGGCAAACGATGTCGACGGTTCCGAAGAATGACGACGGTGGTTAAGCGACGGGTCTCGAGGGAGGGAGAGGGTAATACGGGTTCCACGATTATACTATACATATACCCACCGTTTCTTACTCGACCGGAAAATAATTGAAAACTAGTCGCGGTACTCGCAAGGATTCCGGTGTTTGAGGGAAGTTCCTCGTTTCCGGACTTTGAAGTCTTAAATTTCTTAAAACTCGGTTAGTTGCCCCGGGAGTCTTAAACATTTTTCAGTCGAGAACGCCCGTCCCGTTCGAAGAGGCGATTCGAAAGTTTTGCGGGCCCGCGCGACTAAATTACCCGGAAACTTTGAAAATAAAGGAGAAGCAAAATCGACTGTCGCGTCCGCTTCCGATCGTGTGCTTACCCGTACGGTCGATCGGGAGTGCGGGGGCCACTTACGAAATTGAAGTGGACCACGGATAGACCGGCAACGAACTGGAGTAACCGCGAACTATACGAGCAACCGGTTCGGAAGCGAGTGAACGGGGTTGGCTCCGTGCACCAAAATTTCCTCGTCCTTCGCGGACGATTCGGACGGTGCACGGAGTGGAAGGGGAAGTGAATCGACGTTCGAAAGAAATAGCTGGGGAATTTTTACTGAAAACCCGACGGACGACAGAGAACAAAGCCCGCGTATCCAATTACGTTGACCGTCGTGCAACGTCCTTGAAATTACGCATTACCCGAAGAGTCAGTTTTCCTTAACTTTTTTCCTGTCCCCGACATCGTATCCGTCCATACGAAGACCTCGATCCGCGAGGAACGAAAATGAAAAGGTGGACGGGAGGTGGGCGGAATTTATTGCAATCCCAGTGGAGGATTCCTGGCTCAGCATTGGCAACAATCTGGTGAAAAAAAAAACAAAGGACAAGGGGGGGGGGGAACGATGCAACGAGGGTTCGAGGGTTAAAAAACCAGCGCACCATGGGAAAGGGAGAAGGTAGACGCGATCGAGCTAATTAATACTATCTCTCGAAAGACCCGGTGTACAACCGAGTCAACGGGAAAAAGAGGACACCCGGATGGGGAGGAAATTTATCGTGGAGTGCGATAAAATCCTGCGAGAACGCCCGAAGAATAAACTCCTCCGAGGAGAGAACGGGATAAGAGGGGTTCCGGTATGATTAAACTAATGAAGACGGTAAATGAGAGATACAAGGAACACGGAAAATGCCGGTGTTTTTCGAGGACGCACCGGCAACGATCGCCTGGCTTCCGAGAATTTCGGCATCGGAGTCGAAGGGAGGGATTGCAACGGGCCGACGACCCGCTCGGGGCAACATTCTTTCGCGACGAACGCTGCGAATATTTCGGATTAAAGATAATTCCCTGGTACCCAGCAACGCAGCGTTGGGTATCGCGAATGCTTATCTTCCAAAAAAGTAATAGGGTCAGGATCGCAAAAACTATCCGCGTTAAGTATCTAAGCGAAGGAAAAATATTTCCAGCGAAAGGGGGGAGGTTTCGATCGTCGTAGCACAAGGGCCTCGGGCAAACGGGGTTCCCGAACTTGACTAATCATCGCGAATCACGGGACCTGACTAGTTTCCGCATTAACTTCGTATCGTTTACAGATCCCCCGATCGTGTCGCTGAACCTGGGATCGACCCTGAGCCCCGAGGACATCAAAGAAGGCGACGACGTCTACTTCGAGTGTCACATAAGGGCGAATCCGCCGTGGTCGAAGCTGACGTGGATACACGACGTAAGTTCAGGAGGAAAAATGGAGGAACATTTTCCCTTGCGTCTCGACGGAAAGTTTCGACGGTTCCGCGGCTGTAACAGCAACGGGCCGTTTCTTAACAAAGTTACATTTTAGTCCCTGGAAACAGCTCGGTCCATTTTACCCGCGGTTGCGCTATCGCGGGACGTTATTAAACTCCACCGGTATCTCGGTGGCCGCGCGTACCAGCGACGCGTCGGGGCGCTATACAAATTCCCGTGCACTTGCCCGTGTCACAATGCCCGAAGAACATAATACGCCAGATTCACGGAGAAAAATCTACCACGTGGACGAAAAGCACGTAGCAGTGTAACTCTCGAAATTTACAGGGGTGCCCCGCGTTGCAGGCAATTTACGGGAGAACATACGCGGCCGTGGAAGGGTCTGAGGCGTCGCGGCGCAGCGCGGAAGATGACCCGACTATGGGTTCTCCGCGCCAGGTCTTATCCCGCGTAATGCCTCCTATATCGAGGCGGCCACGCTAAAACTTTTGAATCCTTTATTTGCATAATATATGTGATCGTTCGGTAGCCCGGCTCGATCTCCTGGAACGCCGTTAGACCGTGGAAAGTTCGCCGATTCCCGTCGCGAAACACCCCTTAGCACACCGCAACTCGATCATCCTGTGGATTTATGCGCCCGAAACGACGACAGACTCTATTGGATTCCGCTTGTCTTTGCGTGGTCGTCGTCGTGCGTGGAATAATTTTTGTTAGGCCTCTCTTTCTCACACGCATCCTCAAAAGTAACCATCATAAAATCCCGTACAACTCGGACGTTCCTTGTGCGTAGACGTATTAAAATCGACCATCTCCAGAGTGTTCTGGGTTAGGCAGGGCACGCATTGCAGAACACTCTTGGAAAGGTCGATTTTAACACCAGAACTACCGACGATAACGTATAGCGATTTCGATCGGATTGATAAACATGATAAATTTTTGAAAATATAGAAATTTATAAATCAACTAATTTCTTCGGTTTCGTGGTGGAATAAAAGTTGTAAAAGATCTGAGAAAATCTGAGAAATATGTCTTACACTGCCTTTGTATCCAAACAGGCGTCACGTGACTACGTGACTATTTCTATAAATAAACATAAAAGTCAACAAAAATCTGGTAAAAATAATATTAGCATATTCGGTTATAAAAATTATAGCAAATATTCTTCTAAAATATTCAGTATTAAATCCCGAAACTAACTCTGATTCCCCTTCAACTAGATCAAAAGGGGTTCGATTTAATTCTATTATTATTCTAGTAAAAAACATTAAATACACGGGAAATATAAAAATAAAAAAATTTACCCCTTTGCTGATCTTTTATAAATCTATTTAAGGAATACCTCTCAACCAATATCATCAAAGTAAAAATTATTAAAAATAAACTAACTTCATGAGAAATAGACTGGACAATTAACCGAATTGATCCTAATATTGAATAATTAGAGTTCGATGATCACCCCCCTAAAATTACATGGCCCCGCCATGAATTAACTAAATCTAAACTAAAGGCTTACAACAGGCAAGCCCTAGTCCTCTCACACTCCTACATAAATAAAGATAAAATTTATGCGCGAAAGAATAGAGTCTACAGTCTACACGCTTCGCCATTGAGCCCTCTTTAGTCCGCTGATGTTATTGTTCCTTTTATTGGGTATGTAGGTCCCGATCCCACAGTAGTTTGTTTCCGCTGTATGTAAGTACTCGCTAAATACCACGATTTCCCTTATTGCACGAGTTCCTCGACAGTCAACAAGGCGAAAAAGGGTCCTCAAAAATCGAGCCTGATCGTGAATGAGACTTTTAACTTTCCGTTCGACCGTACACAATTTCGGCTGGGTATGCTATCAATGAGAGTGCACATCGGCAATCACGGAGACGTGAAAACAGAAATCCCAGACTCTGTGGAGAAAGTTTCGCAAGGCTTTACGATTTGATTCCGCACGGGAGAACGTTTAATCGAAACTCGCGCGAGCTTATCCCCTGTTCCGGAACTCGTTCCGAGTACGGATCTCGAGTCGAAGTTCACGGACGAAAGTGTCGTCGGCACGCAGTCTGAGGCGGGCTGGTGCCCGGGGAAATTCCGAAAAATCCGCTCTCCTTTAAGGACAGCTTAGCGGCCGGAGCTGGTCCACTGACCAGAAATACGAGCGACGCTTCGTCTCTCGTGCGACCGCGTCTCGTTACTCCGCTCCTCTTTTTTCCTCGTTCACCTTAATCCAGCCCGTATCCCCCTTCTCTGCTCGCTCGGTCTCGTGTTTTTTACGTATAGTAGGAGGATCTTTCGGCGGATTCGCGTCGTAGTTCACGAAAAATACCGACCAGAAGGACGAAGGAGAAGGCGCTTGCTAACGGTGGTGTAGCGGCAGCTGTTACAACGTAAGAGATTCTCGAGGAAATTGCATCTTAAAAATATGATCCGACTTCATTCCCGCGGTACCAGCCGTTCTCCCATTCCACAATCTGACCATAGGAATTTAGCCAGCTTCGCGGCCTCTTCTCGGTCAACTCCGGTGCCGTTTCCGATCGAATGCGACCGTGTTCTGGAATCGCGAGTTCGTCAAACTGTCCCGGCACGCTGTGTCGACGCGATTTACCGTCGATGTAGAATCGATTTCTGAAACGGCGTCGAATGAAATCTCGTGATTCACCGGCGAGGATTCTAGAGGCGGACCCTGAGGAACGTGTTCTCTTTACGGTTGTCCCGCGCGCGTTCCCGTCGTCGTTTCCATACCAGACGAGACCCTTGGCATTCCGAGGGATCGAGCGCACTTTAACGATACGTAAGGCGTGGACTCGTTAATTCCGTACGACTGTGTAGCTCGAGGGAACGCAGAGCAACTACCTACGAACGAGGAAACCAATGCAGATGGAATTCCTTTTTGCAGGGGGATGACCGTTTTTCGCTCGATTAGAAGGGTTTGTCTAGGAATTACAAGAGGCGATTCGCACGTTCTATCTGCCAATCAATCCCAAGGTTGCAATCGAGCCAGGATTCCGAACTATCGGTCTTAAAAAAACGCTTCGAGCCATTGCCGGCGGCAGTAACCTTTCGAATGGCGATCGTAAAGACGAAGAAAGACTAGCGATCGAAACGGAAAAAGGGGGTTGAGAGGGCGGAGGGGCGAAACGGTTGGAAGGGACGATGCTGGAATAAGGGTCGCGGGCGAAACGGACGCGGGGGGAATGGGACAAGGAGTATGAAGCGAGAAAAAAAGTACGAGGAGAAAAAGCAGGTAGAGAGATACCGTCTATAATGGGGTACAGTGATTAGACTGGCTCCACCATTCACGGGGACAATAGAGACGTTCTGTAGCTACGCGAAGTATCGGCGAGCCAATCGGGCTTGCGGAGAGAGAGACGGAAAATGAGACGGAAAGAGAGAGAGAAGGAGAACGCCGAAAGATTCGTCGGATTGTTCGTGGTCTCTTGGCAAAGTGGATTGACCGACTAGACAACCGGAAGAACCCTATTAATGTCCTCCTCGTCCACCTAAATACGAGGGAAAAGATCAAATGCTCTTTGCCGGACTGGCTCTTCGTAATCTTCACACTCTTGGTCGTCGAGCGGATCGGTTCCCAAAACGACAGGCACTTTTCACAGATTTCTAACGAAAATTCTCAATTTCATTGAACGAACACAGCTCGATATACAGGGTGTCCGAAAATAGCTTCGACTCCCGGAAATGAGAGGTTCCTCGGGTGAGTTGAAACAACTTTTTCCTTATCGAAAATGTTAACGAGATATTAACGAAAAACTCCGATCTACCAACGCTACCGCGGAAGCTCGGCCGGCAGACTTCGCGCTCTGATTGGTCGGGCTTTTTCGTTAATATCTCATTAACAAAGCCTCGGATAACATTTTTCCTAAGGAAAAAAAGTTGTTTCAAATCATCCCAGGAACCTTTATTTCCGGGAATCGACGCTATTCTAGGACACCCTGTATACGTACCTACAGCGAACTGATGACGAGCAGATCGAATTTCCACGAACACCCCTCGGTCGAGGTAATATCGAAGAGGGTGAAAATAGGTCGACGAAAAGGAAATGGACGAGAGTTTAAGTTCCACCCGGTTGCACCGCGTTATATGATTTTCAAATCGACGTTATTGCTTCTTGTACACCGAGATCGCGGGGACGAGACGAGGCAACCCGGTAATGGAGTTCCGCGCGATGAACCGGCCGAATGCATTTCCTGTTCGCGCGAGATCCGACCCCGACGAGTCCGGGGGAAGGAATCGAAAACGCGGCAGGGTTGCGAATCGAGGTGAGAGAAGGAGTGCCGTCGTATTCGGCAGGCCGTGCATCAATCAATTTCAGCCGAGGCGCGATCGGACTGCCGTGCTGGAATTTCGCTTAAAGTCGTCGTCTCGGGACTAGGGCGAGGCAAGGCGGGGGCGTAGAGCGTGGAGTGGAGAAACGCTTCGTTTCGTTAGAATTCGATCTTGCGAGCTTTCGTTCGGAGATAAGGGGGATTCGGTGAAATCGCAGCAGATACCCGCCCTACGGTCAACGAGATTCTTTCGGATCATTTAGATTCCAACCCCTCGCCCTTCCCACGACGGTTGTCTTTTACATCCACGTTCCTCCTCCTCCTCCTCCTCCAGCCGAAAACTAAATTACAAGGTCCTCGATTAACAGCCGAGAATTCGACGAACCCTGGAAACGGAACTCGAAAATCCCGCGACACGGAGGAACGCAAAGAACAGTGGCTCGACGCGCGGAAGAATCGGAAACGTAATCACAGATAATAAGGGAACTTTTGCTCGGCGCGGAACGGTTTATCGCGTGTACATAGATACAGGGTGATTCGTAAATTCATGTCAATACTTCAGGGCGTAAGTCTTGGATATAAGTAAATTCCATGTGAACATATGTTCTGTATACCTTAGTTTTCGTCTTATGGATGATTAAATATTACGTTCGAAGCGCCAACCTCGTGCCTGAACAAACATTACTGCACGCCGTAGCATTAAATTTCCCGC